TTCACTACGAATATCCTACCTAATTCCTTCGGGTTTTTCGGATCTGCCTTAATGCAATAGTACAAGAAAATATTACCTCCGCCTCCCTTTACAATTTCCATTCCTTTCTTCCATATCTCTTGAAACTTCTTCCCGGTAGCATTATAGAGTACAGCCTTTTTCTTATAAGTGAATACCGTTTCCGTTTTTATAGGATATTCTACTATCGTTATAAAACGACAAGTTTTCAACTCCTATAGAAGCTTACTCGATTATTGACCTATTAAAGCCATTACTCCCAAGGCGTAAATCCTAAAGGGGAAGATAGAAACAAAACGAATAAAATTATAAAACGTCAAGATATACGTAATTTGAAAGATTAAATCGAAATTAGAAAGTAGGAGCAATAGGCACACAAGACGTTTTATTTCCACAACTACTTAACCCCAAGCCTCCTTAAATATATAGTATCACGAAGAGCCCGACTTCCTTCTTCAAAAAACGTCGAAAATTCCCCAAATTGTCCGTATCCCAAAAATCAACCCACCATTCTAGCGAACAACCGCCCAAACCAATACAACGCAGGGATGATCGCTATTACAGCGGAGGCAACCTCAAGTAAGGGGTAGCGATAGCAACTTAGGGACGCACTCGGGGGGCAGTGTCGTTTTACTCCGCGGGCAGTGTTACTGCCCGCGTAGTGTACCCTAATGTGAGAGCACTCTGGGGGCAGTGCTATATATATCCTTAACCCTGTAGTTATATAGTTAAAATAAGATATTGATTATATCACCCCCTTTTCTTCCCGGGAATACTTCCGCATAACAACTTTATTATTTTATTATTATTTAGAATAATACGAATCCTTTAAATATCCTCTGAAGGTTCTTATAACTATTAAATTTTATAAATATTATTATTAACCCCTAAGGGGTACCGTAAGGACGCTAATAGTATAGCGGTTAAATATTTACGAATAATATTCCCTATTAATAACCTTTATATGATAAATTTCGAAATTATTATTAATTTAAATAATAAAAATAATATAAAATTATATTATATTTATATTATTATTATAATAATATAATATATTCTCGTGGAGGGTATTATAATATTATACTATTTTATAATTATTAATTAAATTTACGTATTTAAATACGTTAATAAAACTATATATTATATTTTACAATAATTTTAGTTTTTAGAGCGAATGAATTATTAAGAACGCGAGCTAACTACAAAGTTTCTACGCCGGCTAAAATAACTGTAACTAACCGAATCGGGTTAGGGTTAGGGATATATATGGCACTGCCCCCAGAGTGCTCTTACATTAGGGTATACTACGCGGGCAGTGACACTGCCCGCGGAGTGAAACGACACTAAAATCACACCCTACAATAGATTGGATACTGTGGGAAGCTGGACCGTCGGTTGATATAACCCAATCAATTGAACCTCCAGGCTCGCCTAGATTGCCTTCTGAAACATCGAGGCCGTGTCTTTTCGCCAAGTTCTGCGGGCTGTCTGCAAATCAATTAGGGTTCCGAACAGCCCCAATGCTTCTACCCACGGCCTAGCCCTCAACCTTGCATAGCCTCGTGCTGAGAAGACTGTGTTATGCGGGCTGACAACACTGTGATGTTCGATTCGGCTGTTTGGATGGACCTTTCCGATACCTGCGTTGTTGAGCTGGACAAAATTCTTCTCGCCTGAGTTGCTGAGGCACTCAGCGTCGCCCGCTGAAAACCCGGAATAACCTCAAGGTCAACCACAGTCCATGCACTGTACAAGCTGCCGGTCAGTTCTCGTGCGTGTGATACAAGGGAACACTGGCTATTGATGTATGCACCTCTCCGCCGATAATATGAATTCTAGGCATACCACAAGGCTTCTGCGGCTGTTGGTCTTCGGAGGGACTTGACGTGAGGATGGAACTTGGCGCATTGTCTCGGGAAGTTGTTGGGTCCTGATAATCGAACCTGAAGACAAGAAGGAAGGGACCATCAACCTCAACACTTCCACTCCGTCCGCAAGGGTTGTGTTTCGTCAAGAGATCTCTTGTCGTTCAACTTGTCCATTGCTTCCAGCTGTCCTTTGTAAAGCTTCTCGAACATATCCAATGGCAGAATTGACACTCGGCCTCGTCGGGGCTGTTGCCTCTGCTCAAACCTTCAAGGAGTAAGTGTCATCTCCTTATTCCCAGAGATATGTTGGCTCGAGTTGACCTGACCTGATAATCAGCATGTATCTTGGGGTAGATGGAATGATAAAGACCTACAAGAATGCCCAAGAGAAGATCGATCGGTACAACACCTTGATGACCGTGCTTGGGAGAGCACATGAGTATCGACAGAACGCGGCAAAGCGGGCCGTGGACAAATTCGGCAAACCGTTGCCTGAGGCCCTTTTGAAACAACAAACCCAGATTCTTAAAAAGTCCGAGCAGGCCTTAAAACAGCTTCAGATCTTGCTCTCTGAGACCGACTACAATGCCAAGCTCTCCAGGAGAACAAAGATCAAGTTCGTCGCCAATATCCAGGAAATCGACAGGGCGGTCGAGGAAGTGAAAGTGTGGCAGGATATCTACCAGTCTTGCTTTCTGAACCTCATCAGTCAAGAGGCAATTCCCATGACGGTGGAGCTAGACGATGTCGTTGAGCGCTCGAAGCTCAAGACCGAGGCCACGTACCGCGCAGCCTTCATTAAACGCGCTCCAAATAAACCCGCTCTGAAACCAGTAGTAGCAGTCGACTTCTCCCACTGGAACCAAAGGGGCTACACCTTTGGAGCCATTTTGTATTCCACCGCTCGCCAAGCCATGGTTGGTCAAGACCCAAGCACTCTTCGGATCCTGGATACAAACGAGAACGTCCCCGTAGATGCTCAAACCACCGACACGGACGCCCGTAACTTTGCGATCCGCCTCCGGGAAACCGAGCCCAGGGACACCGGTCTTCTCCGTTGTGAAGGGTTCGTGAGACACCCCAGCTCCAGGGACCAAAACTCTTCCAACGGCATCTCAAGAATATCCTTCATCTTCTTTCAGCCGCCCAACACCATCCGAGCCATGAGCCTCCGCCAAGCCCTCCTCGACCACCCACAGCTCCCCACAGAACCGATCGCCCATGGCCTTCTCTTGCGAGACCGCCTCCTCATGGCGCGGCACCTTGTCAAAGGTGTCTATGGTGTCCACCTGTACGGATACGTGCACAAGAACGTGCGGCCAGAGACCATCCTGTCCCTCGAGGAAGGAGATCACGCCGACGAAGTGTTCTCGGGCCGCCGTCTTCCCAAGACCGCGTACCCGATCGGCTTCCAAGTCATCCGCGGCGCCGAAGGACATTCCCAGCTGCGCAAGGACGTGTTGATAGCGATGGCAGCAAAACTCTACCGACATCCAGAACGCCAGGAGCGGGACATGAAGTACTACGTCATGCAGCACGACATTTACAGCTTGGGCGTGGTGTTACTCGAGATCGGGTTGTGGACGAGCTTTGTCGAGTACGAGGCCGATAATGCCACGCCGCTGATTCGGTATCAGATGTTGGGGATTCAACCGAATGCGGAGCCCGAGGATATCAAGAGACGGTTTGTCGAGCTGAGTCGGAGTCCGGAGCTCGTGAGCAGGACGAATGCGTCGTATGCGAGCGTGGTCCACAACTGCTTGACGTGTCTAGATCCAGATAACGCAAAATTTAGCAATGATAGCGCGTTTAGGGATGGAAATAGGGTGTTGGAGAGGGTGAAGTACATTGAACTGATTATGGAGGAGCTGGACATTATTCCGTTGCCGGCATTGCCCACGTAGGGCGCTGTTTGACGTCAAGGTCGAGGCTGGAGTGGTTGAGAACAGACAAGTATAGGTACAGGACTAGAAGTAGATTGGCATAATCGGATTCGGTAGCATTGGGCGTTGAGACTGGACCTACTTGTATGTCGTGAGTGTGTCGGTTCTCGCGGAGGCTTTATAGGTACCACGGAGATCTAGGGAGGTAGACAAGCAGGCCGGGGTTGCTGATATGGACAACCAGAAGATGAGCCTGGGACAACTCTCGTTTGAAGCAGAAAGAAAAGGTGAATCTTGAATGAAGTCGCGATTCAGTTTGTCGAGCGTGCAGCCCGGGCAGGAGCAATTGCTTGTCGGAAGCGAACGGAATCAACAGGAAGTTGATAATAGGGCAGTTGCAGTGTGCATGCATGCATGGCGCAGAGCAGCAGCGAGAGGCAAGAGGATGGCGCTCAGACCATTCGCAGTTTCCCTTGGCCGCGCAAACCCAGGGACCCACTTAAAAGAAAGAAAGAAAGACAAATGGAAAGGAAAAAAAGACAAAAGTCCAGAACCGACCTTTGACAGTCACTCATGTCTCATACAGTTCGGCGACGAGTATCCTTAAGTCGTCGCAACAGATCAGAACTTCGTTATTCTCTTTAATTCTTAATTTTCCATAGGAGCGTCGCTTCCTCCACTGATTGTACTTGCCCGTCACTGCTTGCCATAGAGTTGGAAGGAGCGTTGGAGCTCGAGATGTCTTGAGGTAGGAGCAATCTGAATGCTGCAAGATTAGCCACCAGAATTGGAGTCCATGGCGTAACCCACTTCACTCCTGTTCTTTCTTTCTGCTCTTAAACCGTGAAGATCACCTTCTTTCTCAACGCAAGACATGCGAGTCCGGTCTCTTGAACTCTTCTTTTCCCAATGTACCTGCCCCGATTACGGTGATGGAATTTGACCGGCCAACATCATGAACTTCTGCCGACTCACACTGTAAGAAACTGCGCCTCACGTTGCTTTTGGGAATTTCTTTAGATTTATAAAACGCACCTCCAAGGTACATCGCCATCGCCGGACGCAGACCAAGCCGCAGGACCGGCAAGATGCTCGTGCTCTGCCCAATTCCCATCCGGTCCTACCGCCATACCATCCCGCTTCCTAGCCGAGATTTCGGTCCACACAGCACACACCGTCACTAGCCCTTTATAAGCTAGTCTTCTGGACAGTCTTTCAACAACAAATCGAAGTGCAGTTAGTACAGCGGTTAGTACCCTCGCTCCCCAAACGCAAAATGCACATACAGGGGCTCCGCAAGGAGGTGATCGTTCAAAGAGATCATGCGAGCAACCCAGGTTCGAATCCTGGACTGCGCAATTTCTCCTTTTTCCTTCTTTTGCTTCTCGTTTTGTTATGACTCTGTTGTACAAGGTCCCTCCTTGCCTTTAAAACTCACTCATATTCCTGACTTTGTGTGCTTTTCTTGTTCCGCGTCCTGTATTGCATTTAGCTGCAATTTTCCCTTCTTTTGCTCCCCCTTTGAAGCCTTTAGGTGAATGTCTTCCCTTTGCAGCGACATATTCATGGACTCTGCTCTATGGTACGCGTGCAAGGTATGATGTAGCCTGTTGCAAAAAAACAAAAGCCATCTGCGATCTGCATGATGTTTTCGTGCTGTCTTGGGCGACTGATGGAGGCCAGCATTCTGACTGTCGCCAACGATTTTCTTCTTCAGCAATCTTGCCAGCTCTCCAAGTACACCGTTTCCGCCAACAAGAACACATCTCTGTTTGCATTTACAAGGAGAAAGAGACCACCATGGTTGCCACAAGATCCCACACCGCATTTCCCCGTGGATGGTTCAAAACTCCAAATCCCGAGCTGGGTGGGCAACTTCATGTCAAAGCCGGAGATGGTCATTATATGACGGAACACAGAGACAGACGCTGAATCATAATAGTTCAACACATAAATAATGAGAGAATAGCACAAGTGAGGTAACGTGAAGCTTTCTTGAAGTGCAATTATTGACTGTACCAGTGATCTCAACGCCAAAGGCCAATTCGCTCTATATCCCGTCAGATGTCGCTACAGAAAAGCAACCATAGCGCGTCAGACTGTTAACCCAGAGGTATCTCGAACCAACTCCATGCGCCACGCTATGAACAAAACCGAATATCAAACGTCTTTCCATCAGAGTGGAATCCACCAACTGTCCTCAAGAGCTTCCACCCAGCCCCGGGTCACGGAGCTGGGTGAGCGCCTCTTGGGACAGCTGGTCAATGTCCAGCTCCAGCTCACCCGACCGTTCTACATACATAATCGAGACCGTCGTGGCGGCGCAAGAGCCCTTAGATCCAACCCGGACCACCTCTGTTAACAGGATCAACCACAATCTCGACGTCTTTGGCCTTGCCCTTACCCTTCTCCTCGCGAGTGGGCTTCTTCTCCTCCTTTGAGCCAGAGCCGAGCAACGAACCGAGCTTCTCCTTCTTCTCCTTCCAGGTGTCGGCTAGCTTTGCGCCAACTTGAGCAACCTGCTGCTGTACCTTGGTGGTAAGGCCTTGTTCACTTCCGTGGGAGGAGGGAGTGTCAGGCGACCAGCGACTTTGGGAAGGTGGCTCGACGTAGGTGGACGACTGGCGGCTTGGACCGCCTCTGTCCTCAGGTTCCGGATGGGAAGTCGTAGTTGATGACAAGGGAATAGGAGCACCGGCTTCAGTCGCGGGAGAGGCAACCTCAGCAGGACCACCGGAAGAGGAAAGTGGACGGGGCCAGACGGTAGTGCGACTGTCGTTGTCGTTCTCGTCACCCTTGCCGTTGTCGTTGTCAGCAGCATCATCCGAGTCGACAGAGAACTTGGACCTCACATCCTCACGCGACGGGACAGAGTAAACAGATGAGCTCCAGTCGCGGACAGGTCGAACAGGAGCAGGTATGGCTGGGGCCGGGCGCGGGACTTCGAGGGACGAATACGGAGCTGGCGCTGGCGCTGGCGCTGCCTCTCCGGGGACTCTCTGCGGCGGCAGCAGGCTCCGTCCTGATCGAAGAGCAGGACCAATCGCAGGAGGCTCCCACACGACCGTCCTAAGACGCGGGCCCCTATCCCCCTCGCCTGCCGGGACGACTTCGATTTCATGTCCTCTTCTCATCTGGCCCTGGGAGTGGGAGCCAGGGTGGTCTCTGCGGGCTCCCAGTCCCACCTGGTGCAGGTCAGGAGTAGTTTGATGGTGCCTGGTCATCCTCTCGAGCTGGATATTGTCAAGACGGTCAAAACCGACGTTGCTGCTGCGAGTACTGGTCCTGCCGCCGCGGGCGGGGAGGGAGCTTGGCCCGGTGTAGGGGGTGCTTCGGAGCTCACGGCGACGACGGCGAGCGAGACAGAAAATCACGACGCCGATCATGAAGATGCCGAAGAGGGTGGCACCGATGGCTCCGCCGATGACTGCGCCTTTGGGACCTTGAGTGCCGGTCTGCTGAGGCGCGGGCGCAGAGGTAGTGGCGCTCTCTGATGGCGCGGAAGAGATCGGGCTGGTGCCACTGGTGACGAGGGTTGTCGGCACCGTGGGATGTGTGGTGGTGCGGACGACAGAGCCGCCCGGGTGGAAAGTGACGGTCTCTGTCTCAAAGGTGACAAAGACGCTGGTGATTCTGGCGGCGGGGAGCGCCTTGTGGGTGACTGGTGAGATGATGGTGAGTAGGATGCGAGGAGTGATGAGGGTTTGAGATTGCTTACTGGCAGGACTCCTCTTCGAAGCCACGCCGCGACCCACGGCCAGGTTAGAGGCGAGAAGGGAGGTGTCGATACTGTTGTCCTCCATTGTTGTTGGATACCTTCGTCTTCTTTGAAGGGAAGGAGGTGTAGAGGCCACCGTGGGGTGGTAGATCTTTTTGCAAAGGTCTCCTTTGAGGGTGAGGAGGGAAGGCGGCCACGGAGGGGTGGTTGATCTTTTCGCGACGGGTTCTCTCAAGGGAGGAAAATGAAAACCGTCAAAGACGATGCGGGAGAACGTTTGCTCTTCCTGGTGGAAGAGGGAGAAGAAGTTCGTGAAGAACAAAAGCAGTGAGTGCGCTTTGTGAAAGGTAAAGGTGTGGTCGTGGTGATATCTTGTGGTTGCAAACTCAAGGAAAAGTTGTGGGGGAAGAAAGGAAGCGGGGGCAGCAAATCGGGTCAAGAAATAGTCCCCTCAGATTTCAAATTTTGTCGTCAGCTAAAGGAATTTTTGACTAGATGATACACGTATTGTGCGTAATGGCCATTTCACTGCCAGCAAACGAAACTTTCCTGTGGAAAGATGAGACGACTGCGATTACGGATGCGAGTGTCCCATCCGAGTGACGTTCTCAGGCTGGACGAGCTGCCCTCGCCTCAATTTGGAAGGCACGCGGCTACCGGATCATCCAGCCCTGTCGCCGACCTCGCTCACACTTGGAATGACGTACACGGGCTTCCGTTCACTCGCAACAGTCGAGACGTGGAGGGGTATTAGTTCAACCAGGCAAGATGGTGCCTACTTCACAGAAGACCGGTGCAGTCACGGCACTACAGACCGACCAAAGGGACACACAGAGTCAGGAAACTAGCAGTGTCCCATTGCCGCGCCCATAGACCTGCCCAGCCGGGCAGTTTCTTAGATTCACGAGTGGCATTCTGAGCGAAGAAGTGAACCGGCTTGTCCAATCCCCAATACTCGGACGGCACCTGGCCCTGTGCCTCTGGGGCTAGCGAGCCCACACAACAGACCACAATTCCTTCTGTCTTCCCAACAGCCAGAAACATGCTGAACACAAAAAAAGTGTTTGCACCGGAGCGTATGCGACCAGCCATTGTGTCTTTACACCGTCCATACTGGTGAAACTAGCCGTAAGGGAGTTATTGCTGACACCTGAGTCAGACGAAGAGGTTGAGCCAAGGCAGCTTCATAGACAAGCTACACCTCGACGTCAACGAAATTCTTCGCTCAAGGTCAACTCATCCGCCTTCGAGTGACTACAGATATCCTTCATCCTATACTATAACGTGAAAGAAAGCAGAGCAAACAGAGCAGCAAAGAGATCACATTATCATTTCAGCTGAACAAGGGAAAGATGAACGTCGGACGTGACGGGAAATGTTCGTGTTTTTGTCCCATCTCGAGTTTTCGGTTTGACTATTTCATCTCTCTTCCCCTGGAACTGCAAACGCTAATCCCGCTTAAGTCCCGAGACCATCTAGCGTGAAGGGATTGCGAATTTGGAAGAAGGATTTCAATTCGCCCGCGTCGAGAGGGATATGTGTCGATGCCCCGGAAGACTGGGAAGATAGTGACCAGAAGGATCGCTTGTCTTGGGAAGCTACCGCTGTTGGGATGGTCAATCTCTGGCACTTTGCTAACACCCAGTCATGGCTGGAGGGCCAAGCATTGTGTGCCGGACTTACTTGGATGCTAAGGCAATTCAAGGACGCCATTTACATCCCTCCTACGAATTTTCGTCTGACATCAAAGCCATCTTGGCCGCAAAACACCCCGCTGTATCACCACCTTTTGGGGGTGTGGTCGCCGCCAGAATTCCACAACCAAACACGCACTCTATGTCACGTTTCATTCCTGTTCCGCCTCCACTTGCAAAATCCCACTTACTTCCACTCCCAACGACAAAACCACGTCTGCCGAACGAAAGCAATTAAGCTTAGGCTTCAACATGTCCTGATCTGATGCTGATCGAGCCAATGTCGCGTGGTGACTTCGCGAAGACCACCGATCAAGCCCCCATGGGTTGAGCATTCTCAACCTTGAGACGCCGCTATATAGAAGGCTAGTGAGGGGTTATGCGGCTTCTCGTAGCAGAAGGGGGTTATCTGAACAAGAGCTCGTGGTTTTACAGCTGGCCTCATGATGCTATATGGAAGTCAACCTCTCGAACGTGTTGAAGGCAGCCAAAACGATGTTTAAGCAGCCCTAAAATTATTCAAAATGTATTCACTTGGATTGCAAAGTGATATTTGGTCGTCCTACTCAATGCTACGTGGTTTTGACATGTTTGCAAGTAGTGGTGGTGCTAAAAAGCACGAGTGTCCACGACTCCACCCCGCCTTGCCAACCAACAGCAATTTCTTCTATCAGCACCCTTCGTCCCAACTCCTATTTCGTCGGGCAAAAACTCAAATTTCGATTCCGGCTTCGGACACTCCTATCTGCCCTGACGTATAGCCTTTCCGTTTGTTGCCTGAGGACCCACAGTTGTATATTTGCGAGGAGAAAAGGTTAACGAGGAAGGAGTAAAATTAGAACGGCGGTAAACTTACCGCAGTTCGAATAATAGCCAAGGGAAAAGATAACGGGAGCAGAATGAGAATGATGAGGAAGCGTAACCCTATTGCACGGACACTCGAGCA